CATCATGCCGGTTTTCGCATATAGCTTCAGAGCTCTGTCACTTATGTATTTTTTTACCCAATCTATTTTAAGGTTTTTTAGCATGATACTTTGAAGAGCCTTCGGATAGCCTGATTTTGAGGAACTTGTAGCTCTTGGATAGTAAAGTCGACAGGTTTGCTATACTCGACACAAATGCTGGTCTAATTATCTGGCTATAGATCAGCTTTCTGTTCTTCGCGCTAAGGTTGTTGTTGCTATATAAAAATTTAAAAACCCAAATTTTATTGTTCTTTATCAAAGTTTAGAAACTAATAATTTAATAATTAATTTTTGAACAATTGTAAAATTGTGCCAAACTCTCTAAGTCCCACTTGTAATTTAGTGATCGACCATCTGGGACGTCAATTATATGCAACAATTTTTTCATGGTGATTACTTATATATATCCGAAATGTGAGATATGGATCTTTTTAATGCAATGCGTGAGTCGTGTTTTGGTTAATAGGCGTTGCACGACTCTTCAGATCAAGTTTGTGTCCAGAGATTCTCGTTAGAGATATATTTTTAGGTGTACCTCAACATAAAATTTTTCATACAAATTATGTTGTTCCATTTATCTATGGGTTTTTGTTTTTTTTTGTTAATCTTTTTAGAGTATTTTAGATACTATTTTGTGGGCTGTTGTGGGTTTTAAATCAATAGGATTTTTGGGCATTTTCCGAAAAATGATTAATGTAAGTTATTGGTACATTACATTCTGTTGATTATCTTTAATATAAACTACATATATTAGTGGTTTTTACTATTGTTATCAAATAATTAATAATTTTTATAGAAGAGTTATTTTTGGTTTATAAGTCAATAGGAATATACTCATTTTCATAATGGATCAAGTCCCTGATATTCAACACACGTCTGATTCAGTTAAGTGCAACACTTCATGAAATTTTATATGGTGAATCGAAAAGTATGTATCATCCAGAATTGATGGGTTATTAAAAATAATTTAATTAGCTTATGCCTTATAGCTGTTATAAGCTGTGTATTTGTATTGAAAGCAATTCCTTCAGTGAAGACATTTAATTCTACTGTTATTTCATAGAAAATATGAATATCAAACAATGTTCTTTTTACTTGAACTACATTTTCTAAGAAAATAGAAAGAAAATTTTAAGTCACAAGAATAAATATTTTTTAATTATCTTCCTTTCCTGTATCTTCCCTTTAGGAAGATACACTTCAATCCGTTAAATCAATTATACAAGGATATTGTTTTGAAAGAATTGAAGGTTTGCTGTTTTTAATAATTAAGTGAAAAAAATTTTAGGGGATTTAATAATAAGCTTATCACTCTACAGTGTTAAATACTTTTATTTTGTTTTTTCTTATTATAACTTACTTATTATAACTATAACTTATATTATTATTTATTTATTTCCTAAAATTTCACTAATCAATATTTCAATAAATTTTATTATTTAGTTTTATAAGATTTTTATTGTCCAATATTTCAACTATAATCTACAGTCATCATCGGGGAACTATACATATAGATACATTGTAATTAATATTAAGGTATACATTACATAGAAACAATCATAAATTACATTTACATTGAAACATGAAACATACATATGTATTTGGAAAATATACAATACTTTAAAAGAAACATAAAATTAACATATATATAAGAAAAATATATTTGTCCTCTTCCGGATTTGTCGAAGGTGTTTTTATACACCTGAGCACAGTGTTGTATGTCTGATTCTTTTTATAACCAAGGTGATAATATTTTCGTAAGAAAGAAACTCTATTGCAAGGCAGCCTCAGGTCTTCAAGAAACATTCATGCCAAAAAACAATAAAGCATAAGTTCCGAGATTGCATTTATGGTATATTTGTTATCTTTGATTAAAATCGAATGGATATCATTACTTAATGATTCTAGTTACTTTGCTTGATTATATTTATAACAGTGGTGTTCTAACTGCAAAATTTGACAATGATATGCGCAACATATCAATTTTTTTTTAAAGAAGAGAGAAACTAATATTGTAACAAATATTAGAATTAGATTTATTTTGAGAATGAAAAGCGGAAAAAATAGTGATACCATGCTTTCATAGATTACCATGCTTTGTTGCCTGGTGGGACCAGAGCGGTATTGTTCACTATGAACTCTTTAAGGGCACGTGATCTCAGAGCAGTATTTCAGCAATTTCGAGAAAACTAGAATATAGCTGGATGAATAGTTTGTCGCAAAAAACAAACACTATTTCTGGCACGGTATTCATAAACTACCTAAAAGATAGGTTCAAGGTTTAGAAATTAATGCCTAAAACTTGATGGAAATTGATGGTTTTCTTCACTAAGAAAAATGGAAAAAACGTATGTGTTAGTATTCTAACAATATTCCCACAATATGTCAAGGATCTCATAAGACGCCAAAAAGATTAATGTTAAAACAGATTGTACCTTACTTGTTCTGGAGTTTACTTTCCGAAACCACCTCTCTGTGTTTACAAATATATAAAACAATCTTTTTAAAATGCAGTTTACAACTGCATAATTTAATTGAGTTATTACAAAAGGACATTAAAATAAATTTGTTTTAATAATAGTATATAATTTTTTCGTAAACCAGTTAGTAATAAATTTAATAACATATGGTCTCCTTTCCTTTCTTTCAGATACTACCAACATGCAACGTTCCAAATGACGACACGAAAGTACGAAGGATAGCGCGTGTGGAGTGGAGTTTTATATTTTGTAAATCAAAAGTACGTTTCCGATAGATACTATTTAGTATTGTTACTCGTATAAAAAATTACAAAGATAAAAATTTCATTCGTATTATGTGTTGTGCAAATATTATTTGATTTTAAATTCACGCAATTTAATTTTATTTACTTAATTAACTTTATAATTTTTTAGCAAATTAAAAACTTTTTGCAGAGGTATTATATATCGTTTAATTTAAATTGACCGCGATTGTTTTTCATACGATTGTTTATAATTTTTATAAGAGACATAGACTTATTAATATTATTACTAATTTATATCACGTAAAAATTATTTGATTACGAATACGTTATTTGAGAAAATTTATGTAGTCGCCATGTCACATGGGGGCGGCCAGGAATGTATGTAATATTTCCAGCTGATGAACTCATCTTGATGACATACGGTGCCGCTATACCACGTCACAAACCGCGACCAACTCTTGACTGCCTGCGCGAACCACAAGTGCCAATTGGTTTTTGCTCCAATACCATAACCCCTGTTACCGCAACCATAACCACAACCGACGACAACACTAACTACGACAAAACAAATATTGCTCTTGCAATACCAGCAGAGACAACAGAAAGTATAACTGCAAATTGTGTGCAAACAAATATAACTGCATATGACAATCTACATCCATTGTCAAGTTTCGAAAAAGCACAAAATATAACGCAATCATTACCGCCTACACCGACTCGTATTACAGCACGTACCCACTTAACAAGATCAACGCCAAATTCATTTAAACGAGATAGTTTACAAAGTATACGTGCACCTCAAGCGACACCAGCCGCACAGCCACATCAACTCTCATTACAAGGAAATAATAAGACAAATTCAGTGCCGAACAAGTTGCCAATGTATAATGATACAAATATGAGCAATACACCGGGGGAACAACAGCAGCAAACACAGACTAGAACGGGTACAAGGCGGCCTACGCTAACAAGAAGTTCAGCGATACGTAGCGCCACACCAGTACGTGCCAACACACCACAACGTAGCTTTGACACTTATTATGCGAACGATAACAGAAGTGATATGGGCGCCACTTATAGTGGCGCACCCTCAGTCGATTATCCTACAGGTCTACTTAACACAGCTCGTGAGCGTAGCCCGAGTATATTTCTAGAACCACCATCACCTGATCCTACACAATTGACTATTGGTCCTGGTTGGGGACGTCCAATGTCACCAATGGATTTGCCACCTCCACCTAAGTCACCACCCAATAGCAGTAAGTCTCGTTTGAGACCAAAACTACATATACCACTTGGTCGGTTGGGTCGTTCAACTTCAACCGAACAACGTGAATCGCAACGACTGAAGGAAGACTTACAGTTGCATGTTGAAAACCCCATCTTCAACAGCGAAAATCTACGACAACGTAATTTCGATGCATTTTTTGAATCTGGAGAACCGGTATATAAATTGCAACCGAAAGCGCCTAATTCTGCACCATCAGAAACAGCATCGATTTCAACGAACTATTCACCGATTTTAGGTAACCATAGCTCGGCTAGCAGCAGTGGCGGACTCTTCGCACGTACACCGCGTGAAGAAAAGGCTTTAGCAGCGCGTTCGAAAAGCGCCGAAGTATATGAAACCCCACGAGAGGCGCGTGCGGCGTCCGTGGGTGGTGGTGTGCCCCAGAAAGGTGACAGGTGCCCCCAAAATATATTTATTTTAATTTACTGAAATTGTTTACAGTTTGGCAGCTTTACAAGAAGCAAAAGAAAAAAACAAATTTTGCATAACAAAGAGTAAAACAAATCTAACAATTCGTAAAATAATAGAAGTTCTCGGTTTGACAATGCCACGTTACGTTACTGTTTAAAAGTTTTTCTAGTTCTTTAACAACTTTGTGATTAATTTTATTAATTTCATGTTTGCTATTTCTTGAGATGCATACCGCTACCCCAACCAGTCATATGGCACAGCCAAATTTTTTTTTAAAATTGTTTATATTGAAAAAAAAAAGAAAATGTGAGCATATAACTACTAAGAATATAAAGCAGGAAAAAAGAATTTCGAAACAGGAAATGCAACAAGTCATGCTTGTTAAATTACAAGGACCTGTGCAACAATTCCTTGCTTCCATGCACATAAGACAGACATAAGTCACCAACAGCAATAATCGCAAAAGTTCTAGCAAACTCATTCCTGTTGTCATATACAATGCTTGCCTCCAGCTGTGGCATGCATCCAAAGCTGAAAAGTGCAGCCAACTTATGATTTTGCACTTTTGTTTCCGCTGAGCGTGCTTCAAGTGCATTTCCTGCCGTCTTCCTGTTTCACATATTTTTCTATAATTTATATGCCAACTTTTCTTTCGAGGATGTCTTACAACTATTGTATTAAAGAGAGTGTCTGCCAACAGCACAAATACTCAACAAACATTTTTTTTACACAATAAAAGGGAAATATTTGATATTAAAAAAGTTTAAAGAAAAAAATAAATAACAAAAATGAAATAAATAGCAAAACTGTCAAATGTACATCTTAAGCAAATAAAATATTGTTGCTCCTTTCAAAATAATATAAGTCCTTCCTTACGCTACAAATGTCAGAATTATGCTTTCCACGTAGTTTTTCCTTCTAAGCGCTCTTCCCTTATTATTTTATTTTGGTACGTGGCCATATTGTTTATGTATTTACGAAATATTATTGTACTTTTAGGTTATTCTTAGTCTACGCCATAGGTGAATCCCCAATCCTCAATCCTCAATGAAATAAAACACTAAATGAACTTAATCTGTTAATATTCGTGACGGACGTGCTTTGACTTTAATGCGGAACACAATTATTCAATTTCAGTTGCTTAAAGCTTAAGTTAGGAAAAATGAATTATTTTGTATTATTTTTATTGAACGATTTAAAGACCTTCAACCTGATTTTTTTGTAAACCAAATTAATCGGTATTTTAGCACATAATATAGACTCAGATTAACTTTTATGATTATTATTATTATTCTTGTATATTTATGTCGTCAAGTGTGACATTAAGTACCAGAACGACACTGAGCATTAATCCGATTGACCACCAATGGTATATTACCCATTAAAATTTAATTGATCTGAATTAGACGGCATAGTGGTCACATAATTTTTTATAGAGGGTGTATGTAGTGCTACCATAATAATTTTACTTTTTTATTTAATAGCTTCTTACTAGCTGGATTAGATCATTTTGTTTTATTTTGAATAATATTTAATATTTTAATATTGACATGTTCAAAAATATAAATTCAGGAACTTAGTCCAATCAAAAAAGATTTCCAACTATTCCTATGCGCGCTATAGCTCTTAGTTCACTGAAAGCGCTTAGATCGATTCTTAATCGATTGTTCTTTTCCATGCAGTCTTTGGTCGCCTGTGATTTTTTCTTCCTTGACAAAGTTATATACTTCTTCCTTGAAATTATTTTGTTGAAGCTGTTTTGAGCCAGTGCACTTATACTCTTTTTTAACTCGAGGTATTTTCAAAACCCCTCTTTACACCTTGACTACATTATTGTTTATCACTTCATCAGACTAAGCAATAATTAACCTCAGATCTGCCTGTAATATAGCTTTTATAATTTTCTGAATTTTATATAATATTATTAAATTTGATTATAACGTCAAATATGACGGTAGTGAAAATTTTACTTAATAGAAAAC